TAGAATTAAAATATTGACACCATAAAAGTAGTTGCTCAATGTAATCGCTTTTATCAATCTTATTTTTTATATTGTCTTTTCTTTCAACGCCAAAAAACAAACGCTATCATTGAATACCTTTTTAATTATTGGAAAGTAAGATGGAGTAATTAAAGCACATTATTATTAATAATTTTTATCATAATGGCTCCAATTTTATACCCCACATACACATTAATTGAACTTCCCTAACAAAAAAGTAATTGCTTTTGTGATTTATTTATTCAGAAAAATGTTTCAAATCTAAGTTCAACATTTTTTCAAGCATCAAAAATGTTTTTCCATGCATAAGTCTTCAAAGTGGAACTTAACATTTATTTCAAAGTTCTTCCTTGTCATCTTAGGGGGGAACTTTAAAAAAAAATCAGAACATTATTTTATGGATTTGATTTTGTTTCCAGCGCTGTGCGGATTGATTTCAAGACGCGCGTAACAATTACTGTGACGCACGCAAAAACATGTTTTTGGTCAAATTAATTCTACGGGTGATGTTTGGCCACACTATCTGGTAATAATTTCAGCTTGGCCTCGAGATTCTTTTTTTTTCGAATGTGCGTGGTAGTGAATGTGCTGAAGTGCTGCATCTTCGAAACGTGGTGTTAGTCGCTGGAAACAGTCATCATGCCCCCCAAAGAGGGAAGTCAAGAATGGAGTTCGTGTTAGCGGTCATCTTGGACTCTCAAGTTACAGTACTTTCCTCAATTCATCCCGTGAAACAAAGGCCATTTCACACTCAGGTTTTTCGGCGTGTCATGCGTTCACACGCATCAATGCATGCGTTTGCATGCACGCTTCATTAGGATTCGAAGAGAATGTACGCGAATCCGGACGCATGTGCAAAGGGGGAAACGCAATATATGAACGAAGGAAAAATGATCGTGTGTTGGTGTTGGGAATTCGATGAAACCCAATTCGTAAGGTAAGCCTTGCCTGCAAATGCATATGGGCATGCATGCACACGCGTGCTCCTTTGCCTTGGAACGTAAACGGACGCGTACAGCCACGCATCTCAAAATCGCACGCGTCCCATGCAAAACACGTAAGTATGAAACGGTCTTAAGACTTTCCACACTGGCACTTCAGGCAACCCAGCAAAAAGTTCCGGCTGGAAATATTATTGGTTTTACCCGGTTTGTGATGGACTTTTCCGGCAGGTGGATTGCGTGCAGGAAACGTATCTGGTTCCAATCGGGAATTAGAAGGTAGGATTTTTCCGACAGGAAAAGTAGAAATCCAGCAGAATACAGCGTGGGATCCAGCTGGATCCTGTTGGTTCATTCCAGCTGGAAACGGCATACCAATTTACGACTAGTTCCGGTTGGAAATACTGCAGCTCCTGCTGGTAGTGGCACACACTTACTGATGGAAAGCTTGCTGTTTCTAGCTGGAAGTTTTTGCTGGGAAGAATCTATAAAACGAAGAATCTGACTTGCCTCAAGTATTATGTCGAGTAATCTAGAACATCTTTACCACATGACGAATGGAATAACATTCCGTGGCAAATGACCCGATTTGAGGGAGGGGGAGGGGGGAGCGACTCACTTATCGGGGAAGCTATATATCGAGGTTCAAGCTAACCCTAAGAAACTTGTAAAACTCAAACCGCAAGTCTATTCTGCACCGTGACATGACTTTCGGAAATTTCTTGTTCAGAGAAACCTAGGAGAGGGTGCTAAATGCTAATTCTGGAAGTATTGCTCGAAGGAGTTCGAACAAAGTGTATACCATATATGGATACCAGTATTCATAATTGAAATTCATTATTTCAGTCCGGTAAATTTTTAATGTTCAAGTTTGTGCAATTCATTTGTCCAAAGTGTGGAAACTTGAAAAAAATACCACACTTTCTTCATTTGTAGGCTTCTGTTGAGCCTCTCAGAATGCCAGAAATTGCTATATTTTGGGCCTCCATAAGACTGAGACATTGGACAAAAGTAGGAAAATTACCCCTTTCTTTGAATTTGGCCTCCCAATGTCCATAATAAGGTTTTTTTTTTTTTAATGAATGGTCTCATGTAAGGATAAGTAACTCCCATCAAAGCAGAGAAAATGCAATCAAGTCTATGCTTCCCATTTCTGTGAAGGGGAATATAATTTTTTTAAACAGGTTTTTTTGGAATCAGGGAAAATTTATCCTAATTTCCGCTTTACAATAAATCCAAGGTGATTCACCATGTACAGTTTTCCAAACTAGGATTTTCCAACTCTCAGAAGCCTTTAAGCTCAATATTATAATGTAAATCTACTTTGTTGCATTTAAGTAATTATATAGCTATGTAACTGTAGGCCTAACATGGATAATTTCATGGCTCATTTACCATATTCACAATGATCACTTGCTGTACCTTAGCCTAAAAGGAGTAGAATATTCCTGTATACCCTTTTACATAGTAATCAATGGAGTTGTAGATGATGCATGATGCTATGCTGATTTTAGCCAACCATAGGACTGTGTATATAGAGGCCTATTATTTTTATGTTGGACATTCACGGCAAATGCGAGCAAAGGAAGAGTGAAAGTGGGTGAACCACATCCCAATTATCGCACTCGTTTAGTTCTGGAGGGCACGACGGAGGATGTTAGCTGTGCCCAAGATGGCCGTACGCTGGAGGATGTCACATAATTGGAAGTTTAAAGTTAGTATTCTAGAGAGCATTAATTTACTACTTGAGCCCCCTCCATAGAGCATCATAAGTGAGTTTTCACTTGAGCCTCCTATAATAGGACTTGAAGGAGCTAGGCTAAAGGTAAGAGCCCTGACATGAGATGGGATGGGACTAATGAGATGGATAGGTTCTTGAACATCAAGATTTGCCATTGAGGAAGCAAAGTGACAGTGGAGGAATGGAACAATCACAAAGGGGTGAAGCAAAGATACGAGCTGAGATCCACGTTTTATTATGGGTTCCAGCTTGTTAGCACAAGTTTTGGGCAGTGAAGGTACTGCTAAGACAATATTGGCACACTCAGAGCGCCTGCAGTCATGGAAGCATTAAATGTTAGGCTTTTAAATGCCATGCTTACATTGAGTTATTCGTGGTATACATTGATATGCCATTTAAAAAAATGCTCTATATACAGAAATTTGAAGATTAAAATGAAGCTAAATGAGCAATTTTCACCTCTAATCCTACATGGTGGTATTCTTACCTCCTTGGTAAGAATATCAGTCACTTTCAGGTAGTCAGAAAGGTTCAATGGAAGTTTACTTGTGACTTCCAAGCCCCTCTACTGTGGAAAATCAAATCATGAAATCTAAAGCAAAATAAATAAAAAATTACTTTCCTTCAATGAGCCAGGTGAATGTTACTATCACCATTGAATGTTGTGCATCCTAATTTGAAAAGCTAAATCAGATTTGCTCTGTGCATTTTTCTGTATCTTTATCATTAAGAAAGTTGTATGCTTTCAAAAGGAAAGGAGGCCAAAAAGACAATGAAAAAGGAAAAAATTGCATCAAAATTTTGCATTGGGAAATATAGTAATACAATGAACTTTTGGAACGTGGTGATAGCTTAGAAGAGAAACATTTCAGCTTGTTACTTTGAAATTAAATTTAAAAGGTCCAATTATGCCCATTTCCTTTCACTTCAACTGTTTGGAATTTGGAATACTTAGCTCAAAAACTAACAAATGTTGCCATTAATTAGGTATTTAGATGCTTTGGATAGGTGTTTTACTTTTAAAGAATTTTACCATTTTAATTTTTTTTTTTTTACAGAGGGAGTTGCCTGACAGAGGCTTTTGTAATAACTCCCTCTGATGGAGCATGTCTCACTTCTCTTAGTTCCAATTGGTTCATTCTGTTCCGCGCTCGTACATGAATATCCCATTTTTGCGACTTAGCCATTCTAATTCGTGATTTGAAGCGTCCAGTCAGTGCCGTGAATACGCGAATGAACTTTTCCAGAGGTTAGGGCGAGGTGTTTTAAGAACCCTTAAAAGCGCATCGCTTAATACCCTCAAAGCAGAGTTCTCAACTATCGTTTGTGTCATGATTCTGATTTGGAGTTTTAGTTTTCAGTTATTTCATCAACCGGTAACTGATAGATACAAACTGTTTAGCCGTTGGTTACTTGAATTTCCAAGAAAGCTTTCCATGAGTGGAAAATTTTCCAAGAACAGAGATTAGTTCTCCCAGTTTTTTTATGTAGAAGACTGAGGGGAATGCTTCATTACGGTTAATCAAAACCGAATTTTGACTACCAGTTAGTTAAGATCGGTCGGTCAATCGGTTATACAGTTAACTGTTGAGTCCCCTAGTTCTGATTCAGAGAATCCAGAGGTCCTGGCAGAATCAGGAGCCAGGTTCTGACTCCGTCGCATTATAACCCTTTTCTTTTCGCCTTGCTGCACTTAGAACATTCCATTTTTAGAATGTCGTAATTTCCATCGACTTAGCAGTGCGGAGCCTGCTACGAATGCAAGCGAACAGTGGCATACGTACGAGCGAACATGCGAACAGGGAGCACCACGGATCAGATTAAAACAACGCCCTCTGTTATCTAATAGTTTCAGTGGGCGTCCTCTTTTCACTGCATTCATGCAGGCTAGTGGAATTAGATGCTCTGCATTAGGGCATCCCTTATCAAAACATTCGCATATTGACTGACTGTTGCTGCCAATGGTGCTCGTTGCTCCTGTGCAAGGCAGTGCTAGGATCCTTTTTGTAAATGGGCTTTGGAATTCGCATAATTTCTCTCCGTTGATGGTGGAAGAGGTGGATGACTAATTCGCCTAGCATTAATTTCTTTGTCGCGGTGGAAAATGTGAGCAGTCGGTTGTACTATGTTGTGTCGGGCGCGGCCGTGCTTAGAGGAGCAAAGCCAGCTCAACTTGCACCGTGGCGAGATGGTAGTTAGGCAGTATGACTGCACTTACCTCATTAGAGTTGAAGAGGGCAAGGTTTCAATCTTTCTCAGTCTTCATTGAAGCATAGCAGTGCAACTTCTGCTTGTACTTATGTCGTGTCGCCCTTGGACTTCTCTGAGATGCCTTGTTGCTTCTCGAACCCTAGATCAGAGATGCTCAACTTAATAGTGAGAAGGTCCACTAACACAGCGGTTCCCAGACTTCTTTTTCGTTGATCCACTTGCTGACGTACAGAAAATTTCGCGACCCACTGGAATCCAGAAAGAGGTATTTTCAAAGTAATTACGACGTGAAGAAAACCGATCGACCTTTTCTGTTGGGCATGTTTTCTCTTGAGCAGATGCGGACATAGTCATTTTCTATACTGAGAAAATGTACGCGACCCAATTTGATGCCTCTCTCGACCCACAGTTTGGGAACCGCTGCACTAAAATAATGTTCTGGAGGTGTGGCGGGTTCGTAAATAAAATTTTAGCACGAGAGCTAAGAGTCGCTATCAGATAAATTCTCGTCGAGGTATGGGTGGGAGGATTAACCACGAAGTTTGTTGAGGGGGTGGGGGGAAGGGGCGCGACTCACATAAAATAAGATACTTCTTTCAGAACGGAGGTACCGTACACTGTAAAAACTCGACCCATAAAGATACCCCTAATGTTACCCATACAGGTACGGTTTATGGGTAAAAAAAGTGGCCCTTTTCTTACCCATAAATGTTACCCATAACAGTTACTCATAAACGTTACCCATAAACCAGAAAACTGTACCCCTAAAGATACACATAATGTTACCCATACAGGTACGGTTTATGAGTAACACAAGTGGCCCTTTTTTTTAATCCATAAATGTTACCTCTACGGTAACTGAGGTTACAAAAAAAAACTTCAAGACACTTCAAGACAAGTAAGCAGTTACTGTATTGCACATTGAAAATCATGTTCAGCTTCAGACAACTCCAGCAGATTTAAAGCAGACTTTCTCTAACAGATTTCTGAGCTTTACACTTTGAAGGTCATGTGAAAAGGAATCATTGAGCAGAACACTTTGAAGAAATCCAAGTAACTGTCCATATGCTGCAGGATAGGATATGTCTCTCATGAAGTAGAAGCCCAAGCATATTATTGCTCCTTCTTCTGGGGACACATCCTTCACAGTGACTTGAGGGGTAGCAGAAAATGTGTATTGCATTGACTGCTGATCAAGATGCAGCAGGCAGTGTGGCCCCAGAAGCTTTTTTGCAGCCCTGTTGCTGCAGTCATCCTACCATTTGAAGAAATAAACAAAGTACTCAACATCAGAATTATATGACAAGCAGTCATGTGGTCGCTGCACAGTGGCTCTAGCTTACCTTCAAAATGAGTCTTGACATCCACTGTCTTGTGACACATGAAAGGTTGGAGGACATCTATGGGAATGCTCTTTCTTGAATTGAAGGTGAGGGAAAGAAGAATGTCTACATGCTGATGGTCAAAGGGCAGACCTGCCTGCATGGTTCTCGTCATTTCCTAAAGAAAAGGAAAAATGCAAAGTTTTGGAGGAATAGTTTGTCTCATCATACCTTGTATCATTCTTGTGTCATTCAATATAATTCAGGCAAATTTTGAAAGCCACTTTTCAGCATTAAAATTAGTGAAAATGAAGGAGCATAAAGGAATTTAAAATTTCATGCTTACAGCCAATTCCCTGAGTGCATCTTCAACAGAAATTTCAGGAATATCCACTCTTGAAGAGGCAGCAACTTCTTTGTTAGCGAGACACCTCTTTGGATGCTTCTGGCGATGCCTCTGTACTTTCCTGCGGGTGGTGAGCTTCCGTATGAAGGCACTCTATGGAAATTAAAAATTAGAGCAAAATTAAATACTCATGTACTCCATAACAAATATCAAGAAAAGGATGCAGACTATGCATGCCTACCCATTTGTTTGCTGTCTGCTTCTTGTTCACATATTTCTTTTTCTCGGGAGAGTCAAAGGGGATATTGGGATATTTGGCATGCAGTTCTGCTCCCAGTCTGTTGTAGGCCCATCTCATTTCTGCATGATTCTGTAGTATGATCAATCTATTTGCACTGCAAAAATAGGAATGGATGCTGAAAATACCCTGAAACTAATGTGGGTCATAAAGTTTCCTTTATATGCATGCATGATAAGTATAGTATATAGTATAAGCATAATATTCAAGCTGTTCTTATCTGAGGATTGTCATTTGTTGCTACTTGCAATGTCAGAGACACACAAACCTTGCAATGATTCTTAAACCTCTTCCAAATATTGAATACTGTCCCACAGGAGCACTTGAATAACCAAGATGACTTTGTATGACAATTCCTTGCATGTGTCTCCAGGAATGTAAGTCTCATTGTGCCAATATTTGCAACATGAAGAGCCCCTACCACAGTGTTGGAAGTCTCTGTCATGGATGTAACTGTTGCTTGCATGGCACTCACAGCATCAGACTCATAATGATAATCTGTGAAAGAAAGGAGGTTTTACAAGATAAGCCTTCATACAGTTGTAGAGAAGATTCTCCAGGATATATGCATTACAGCTACATCAGATGAGCCCACTGATAAACTTTATTGAATATGATGTGTAATTACATAATAGACTTAAGACATACTAACAGTGACTGATGGGAAGATGTTTGGTCTAAGTATATTGGCTCATTCTTGGACATACTGACTAATGGCCAGTACCCTCTCTGGCAGTAATATGATAAATTAAGCCCCCAAAACATAAATAATATCATTATTAACCCCCCTCCTAAAAAAAAAAGTTATTAGGGAGACTATATCACACTCACCAATTTTCATGTGAGATGTGGATGCATGCCCACAATAGTGGCACCAATGCCATGGTCTGGAAAAAGCACTTCCCAAATCATAAATTGGAGGTTCCATGGCAAGCCTTTCTTTCATAAGTGTCACAGTCACAATTGGCATCATTGCACTGTCCTCGCTTGATGCCTCGGAGGTCATAGAGGATGAAGTTGGACATGATTCTTAAGAAACTTGAATCTGCTGCTAGTATGGGAAATACTATATAAATAACTGGGAAAGGAAACAAGCTTTTTCTCTCATGACCTAGTCCTAACCCAATAGAGATAATAGGTATCTTAAGTCAAGGTATGCCTCAACTATAAGAGAAGACACAGTTCTGCTTCATAGTGTTTGCAAATGAATCTGCACCACTTTTTACACTGGGCAAAGCTATTTTCACGACACATTTGAGGCGATGGTATATACAATTTTACTTTAGAAATGACATGAAGTCCATGGAGTCCATGTTAGAGGTGGTCAGAAGTCATTTTCAAATCGCTGTAAGGTTCCCCAAGAACGTTAAGCGTAACTTATGGTCAGGATAAGCAGGACCTATCTAAATGGGTTTATCATAAGTGCTATAAGCCTAACATTAGACCTCCATTACTGATAGCCCTCCTAGACTTACAAATAGTACAATAGTACAAATTGCGGCTTATGCTAATAACATAATAAAACTAACATTAGGATGGATGCACATCGGACCAATTCATATCACCCGCGCACACGCCACAGTAGCCATGTTGTCTTTCTTTCCCAAGCGCCCTCCCACCCACGCGTCATCCAACTTACCCATCTTCTGCCACTTAAGTAGTCACTCGCGGATGCACATCCAACAGACCCCAAGTCAACATTGAGAGCTCTTTCATGCACTTGTTCAAGAAAGTATAGGCTCAAAAGGAAGGACGGTACGAATATAGGATGGCAAGTCATAAAGCTACGGATAACTGGGGGAGAAGTAATTTTAAAAAATCTAAATAATCTAAAGCAGGAATAAAACGTATGGATGGAGAGCCAAATCCTATTCTTCATGCCATTGACCTATCACAATCTGCAAAAAAATTTTCATTTGCACTTCACCTGACAAAACAAAATCTATTATAGATGTGTACATAAAATTATTCTTAAAACAGAAAACATACCCAAAGAGTTTATGGGTTTCCACCCAAGTATGAGTTACATCGACTTGAGGCAGGGAGGGGCGAGGGGAAAGGGAGAAAAAAGGGCTGCATGGTTTCCCTCTTGGTTCCCTATATAGGAGTCCATGTTACCTATAAACAACCTTTATGGGTTTCAGTGTTCCTCATATGCATCCCGTGCCTGATAATGATACCCATAATTCCCTGGTTACTCATAATTTATGGGTATCTTTATGGGTCGAGTTTTTACAGTGTATACTACCCGTAGGGTAGTATTCGAAAGCGCTTAAACCCAAGCGGATACTACCCTACCATAAAGACTATTTCTGCCACGGGAAAGGACGCAGGCAGAAGCAGGGAAATGGGGGGGGTGACCATTTCAGGGCAACATTGGGTAATTATCATGCCTCAATATTCTGTTGAGGAGCGTGTATGGATTGTCGAACACTATTTTCGAAGCTATTCATCAGGCCAAATTCAATTCAAATGTGTGCATAAGTAAATATTTTTTTTGCTCAATGACCTTTATTTACACGGCATGCCCTTTATAGAAAAGGATATGAGGTGGGGTGAAGTGGAATATACAGAAGGGGGTACAGAAATTGTTGATGGTCGGTAGAGGTGCTAGAAGAGTCATGAAGTTGTGGTGGTAGAAGAGATGATCGAAGGGTAGGGTGGATCCGCGACCAGCCACCAGATGGTGTTATCTGGCCAGGGGTCTCCAAAGATTTGTTAGTTGGCATGGTCATTGTGGGGAGATAAATAAATAAAATCATCCTTAATTATATTGTAGTTTCGGTTACCTTTTTATGACCCACCATGTAGTAGTAAATAGGTGAATATAAACCAAAATAGCTTCTGCAGAGGTAATTTTCTAACCCAGCGGTTTTCAACTCTTTCAGCGAATTGTACCAGCAAAAATAATCATGATTCACGCAACTTGATTTATAAATAAATTGACTATGAAATGATGAAGTTATGAACAATCCAAGACTAGTTTCTTTGGTCACAGATTTTTTTATTTGACATTTGCGATTTTTTAAATGTCACGCGTCTAAATTGAAAAAAGTCGAAATTGGGGGAAAATCGCAAATATCAGTAAATGAAAATGTTGCGACCCTATAGATTAAACGCTATTGTTCTCAGCGTCACCGCGTTGAAGCACATTAATGTTCCGACGGTTTCAAATTGCATTTACAGATCTTTATAAAGCTTCGATGTTGATGTGTATGCGTACTCAAGGTCCACGTGACCTGGCCATTTAACACTTTCAGGCCTATACCTGTCATGTCGACCTACTTTCCATATCGCATTCAAATCGTCAGGTTTCATTCAAATTGAGTGTTGAGGAAGGTTAAACGAGCCTTTTTGACGAGGGAAATAGCACACGTATGTGTCAAAATAAATTTTTGCGCGCGTTCACGCACCGCGAGAATGGGGGATTAAAGTGGAATGGGGGGAGATGTGAGGGCAGTGTCCCCGACTTCCAACAAAGGGTGGCCCTTGATCGCTCTGGGGAGATGAGTCGAGAAGAATGGCCTTGATAGCTCAAAGAACACGCCACTGGATCAGGAATTCATGCTGTGGCAATGCAACTTCGACTGTTGATTATGCTGTAGATCTTAAGAAAAAAATTGGTTGAACTTCCATGGCATCTATCGCTGGAACTTTGCTAGCTCACCGACCATTTTGGACTCGGGTATTTAAAAATAAAGAGAAGCTGAGCGGGCGAGCACTCACTGTGTTGTTGCTTCAACCTACTTGAGTAAAAAATAATTTTATATTTTGAGTTTGATAAAACAAAAACTTCGCAACTGCCTCAAGTCGGAGAATGACTTCATGCTCGCAGTCAGCTCAGTGGAAGTGGATATTACAGTAAGTACTTTCTGGAAAACTGGCCTCTATTTCAGAGTGAACCAAGTTTTTTCTTTTCTTGTTAATTTAATTAAAATTAATGAAATATCGATTATTGTTGGTTCAATCAATGTCTTGGTCTGGTAATTGTCTAATTTGACAGGTGTGAAAATTACTGATCGAGCTAGACCTTGTGGATGTAGAGCCTTGGTGCTTTCGGCGCGGTACGTCCTCTAGCATCAAGGAGGGGAAACTCGGTTGAAGATATAGAATCCTAGATGGCATGGTATGCAAGCGGACTCCTCCCTATAGAACCGTGGGCCGTCGAAAACATTTGGCGACCTCCGAACACAGCTCGTAAAAAGAGTTCCACCTGAGGCTCTTATCCCGAAAATTCTCATTTGGGTCACCAAAGCTCACCCATTTAATCACATTACCGAGGAGTTTGTAGAGAAAATGCCACGACGAAACCATGTTTTGGTTCCCCCAGCCCCATTATCAACCGTGGATTAAAGAGGGACGCATCAGATGTACTGTAATCTAGGCGACCATGGGTCGTCCACGCTCAAGGAATTCTAGCTCCTCTATCTAGTTCATCGGGAAGAGACATGAGGAGGCTGGGTTGCTGCTCTTTCCCTCCGCACTTGCATGTTGAACTTTGAAATCCAACGCCCCTGTTGCGAGATCGAACAAGCGTAAGAATTCAAAATCACTATCGGAACCGGAAAGCAGAGAAATGGGATTGCTACTAAACTCGTCGTTCTCTTGCTTTTCCCTCTTTCTCCTTCACTCTCGCTTTCTCTTTCACTCACCATCTCTCTCTTTCTATCCCTCTCTCTCTTTCGCTCTCTCTCTATCCCTCTCTCCTCTCTCTCGCTCCTTATCTCTCCCTCTCCCTCTCTCCCTCCCTCTCTCTCTCTCTCTCGCTCTCTCTCTCTCCCTCGCTCTCTCTCTCTCCCTCTCTCCTCCTCCCCCTTCCGCTTTCTCTCGCCCCCTTCTCCCAATTCATGTCGACAGACATCTCATCAAATTATCCTTGTACAGCTGCACCAGTAGTTCCATACGGCATCAGACTGAGCAAAAACGTTTCCAGGTTCTGAGCTTGGTATTGAAGGGCCCTCTGTCACTCTTCTTTCCCCGTCGTCTGGTTTATTTTCACGTCGTTGTTACTCGTGACCTTTGTCACCTCGCTGTAATTCTTGCTTAGCTCATCTGAAGTCATCTCACGCACAAAATAAGAGAAGGTCATGGTCGCTAACGAATAACCTCTCTGGGGGCTTTCGTGACGGGATCTGTAAATGCGGTACGAGCAGTCATTCACTCTGTTGAGCCCCAGACTTGTTCATCATCGTCATCGCCTGCGTGAGTTCATATTACAACTGATAAAGGATGGAAGAAAGAGGGAAAACAATGCAAGCGTGCCTTGGCCCCTAAGTCAGATTGCGGGCGGACTGGCAGCCTGACACCTCCACACGACCTTGTAAGTAAGCTTGAGAGCTTTGACTCCAGATCCTTTTCCGTCGAATATAATGAGGGTGTTTTCAGGTGACGTCATCTTGACTCGACGACGGCGGGCTTAGATGGAAGTTTGAGCTGCTTCCTTTTTCAAATGATTCTATATTTGGACAATATAGACTTTCATTACTCATCCACAATTCTGCTTCTCTCTCTCTCTCATTTGCGGGTTTGGTTCTTGTCTCGTTCGGGTTGAATGGTCGAAGAATACAATTATCCGAGAGAAGCATGGAACGAAAGCGTGAGAGAAATGAAAAAGTTGTTCTTGAAAAGGATGAAATTTAAACATGTTTCAACATATGCCAATTGACAAAGATTTAATGAATTGGTATCAACAGCTGGGATTTCCTTTGATTGGGAAGAACACCACTTTCAATATGCGCCATTTATGTGCTTTTTAAAATTTCCTGCTTTAAAATGTGTACTTTGGGGTGGTCTTGAGGTACTCATGACGCTTGCCGATGAGACGAAGGGATTTTCAGGGTCATGCGTTGATGATGAGGTATCGCCTGGAACCCTTTGGGAGCCCATTATCTATATTGGTACTATACTGTCACGATTCTGGCTTTGCCGGCTCCGCAATTATGAGCAGAATGAAAGCCTCTCCCCCCCCCCCTAATTTTCCTCCCTTCTTTCTGTTGCTCTTGATTGGATGAACCCTCTGCCACGAAGGTGAAGGCAAGCATGAAGAGGCAAGAACGTCTTCTGCCGGCAATAGGAGCGTGCACGCTGGCTCATCAGTCGAGCCCTGTGAGCCGAGTTCGGTGGGTTCTCTCTGTCTCTCACTCCCTGACTCTTCACTTCTCTCCCTCGCCTGCGCTGAGAAAGCGTGATCCTCCGTTCGATCCTCATTCCGTTTGACATTGCCTAGTGACTTCAGACTTGTTAGGTAGTGTTGGAACCACACCCATTTGTGTTTGAAGGCGTTCTGGATTCGCCTAAAAAGGAACGACCTTCCCTTGTGGCCGAGATCCATGTGCGACTCGGGCGGGCAGGGCTGAGATTACCCGTGAGTCCTCCTACTTATTTTTCATGGCCTAAGGGTAACAACGGCTCCTCATCGTACGAATGGAGGGGTGCTACCCACGACTACTCAACATTGCGTGGGATTCATCAAGAAGCGAGACCGTGAGACGGAGAGAGAGTGGTGAACACTTTCCTTACGGCCACTGCCAGTGACTGGTACCAGTGTCCGATTAGCATTTTTTCCCTGTGAAACGGGGGGCGACTGAGGCTGAGACATTCGGGTTCAGGACACGATGATGTCCACACATGCCTATTATCGAGA